TTGATCAATTGATTTAATAATGAAGTTAACAGCCTACTTTGTGCTATTATTGGGGTCAATGGAGATTGGCAACTTCCTGCAGTGTGAAATAAAGTAGATTGATACCTAAGGCCTTGGTTAATTGTCGATTTTCATCTTAAGATATTTTCTTGTAAATAATTTACATCCTACAAGTGTTGATGGTTTACAATTAGATAAGACAACAAATAAAAGAATGAAAATGAATTAAGGAATGTCACATATATGTTTATCCAGCACCCTTTTATTTACCAACACTTCCACAAAATATGGCTTGGACTGGTTGCTTAATGTTTGTAATTGACTGTGTCTACAGTGGCTATTGAATCTGAAACATCAGTTTCAGAAATACACATATTTTAAATTATTTTGTTTAATTTGACAATGTACATGTATTTGAATTTATTTCTTTGATCAAAAAAATGATAAAGAAAACATAAACAAATAAAAATATCAAATATAAACTGACAAAACCTGTGGGGGTTGCCAATATGTTTTGGCTGTAAACAAACAGTTTGAGGTTAGTGGATGTAATATGGTTAATCATTGTTACCTCCCTTGATTGAGGTTGAAAGCATCCTTACAAACTTCCACACTATTTCCTCATTGTAGTATGATATTTTATCATATTGTTACAATTTCAGCTGATTCTTAGCCTGTTTTTCATACTTAATTAATGTTTCATAAAATAAGCTGTATTTCTACTTTAACAATGATGAGTATATTTTAACATTAATCAAAGTGCACTATGTTAAGTTTCCATCAATAAGGTGCACAATAAAGTAGAATGTAGACACATTAAAATACAGTAACAATATTGTGTGTTTCTGAAAAATATAGTTGAGTAGTTTACATTGAAATGTTGACATAATTATTTTTTTGTTGACATAAGAGGTTTTCTTGAGTACAGTATTTTACAAATACATACATAATATATTATTAACACAACAATTTTATAACAGGTGTATTTGTATGTAAATAATACCATGAGATGAATGAGACAATGAACCAAGGCTTGGAGACAGAGGTTAAAAGATATTTCTACATTGAACACTTCAAAAGATAACATG